GATGCTGACCCGGCTGCTGGCTGGGCGCACACCTGCCTTCGCCAGGTCCGGTCCTCGCCTGAGCAGGGGAGGTTGCACGGCAGGGCACAGGCAGGGCAGAGAGCAGCAGGCTCTCCTAGTGCTCTGCTCCGCTCTGCACCAAGAGTGTGAAGTGTGTGGCCTGGGGATGTTCACCTCCCTGCTCCAGTATTTACTCTCGGTTCCTTTGTTCACTGGGTCATTCACTCAATTTACACTGACGGTGCTTTGTGCTTGGCCCCTGGGAAGATGGTAGTGCCTGTTTCTGCCCACCGGGCTTGTGGGCAGTGGGAAGGGAGACAGGCACCCCAAGAACTCCTGGGGGGCCTAAGGAGGGGCTTCTGACCCAGACTGTTGGGTTGGGGCAGGTGTCTCCCAGACCAGAGGGGCGTTTTGCTGGACATTCGGTTGGAGACTGAGCAGTGGAGGCGGGGGAGGCCCCGGAGCTGAGCCCCTCCCTTCCTCCTGGGGACTCCAACTCATGAGCCCCTTTTTCCTCGTTTCAGATGAGCCCCAGGAAAATCAACTCGGAAGCAGCCCTAACCCGCAGGTCAGGGGCTGGAGTGCCTGGTCCCCGTCTGGTCACGCTCGGCCTGTGTTTGCTGAGTGGCTGTCACTGTCCCCATGCCAGGCTGTGCCCTGGGACACACGGGGGGAAGGCGCAGCCCTGGCCAGGGCTCCAGATCTGTCAGGAAGATTGGATTCACATGGGGGCTGTGGCCCCAGAGATGCGCCGAGGAGGGGAGGGTCAAGGAGGGCATCTGGGGGGGCTGCGAAGGCAGAGGAGGGCTAGCCGGGGCGCCAGGGTGGGCAGGGCGCCTGGGAGCCCCGAGTTTCGAGCCGATGGGGTGGTAGTGTGTGAGGACCGTGCCGGAACACCTGAAGTCCGTTTACCAGGGTGGGCAGGGCGCCTGGGAGCCCCGAGTTTTGAGCCAATGGGATGGAGTCGTGTGAGGACCGTGCCGGAACACCTGAAGTCCGTTCGCGTGGCGGGAGCCTGGGGCCCTCGCTGTGCCTCCGCGCGCCCCCGATCTCCCCTGAGGCCTGCCGTCCTGGCTGGGCCGTGGGGCGCGGGGTACGGAGGTGGCTCAGGTGACCGGCAGGCCTGCGTGGGCCACGCAGCGGGGGCGAGGGGGACGCAGCAGGACTAGGGACCAAGCTCCCCTGAGAGCTTCGTAGCGGCTGCGACAGGTCAGCCAACAGGGCTAGAGAATGTGCCACAGGGCAAGTGACGTCCCAGTGGGACTGTGGAACTGCCTAGGAGGAGGCTTCTGGATGCAATGGGGAGGGAGCAGCCCATGGACGGGCAGTGTGCCAAGCCCGGGGCATCTGGTGGGGGGCACACAGGCACGTGGAGAAGGGGCTTGGGGGACGCTGGGTATGGACAGGAGGCAGCATCAGCTCAGGGGAGCCTCGTCTGCTGGGCCCCAGAATTTAGCCCCTGTCCTGGGGCCTGAGGGTTCCGAGCTGGCAGGACAGCATGGGATTCGTATGGGGCAGGAGCAGCCTGGTGGCAGGTGGCAGGGAGAGTGGACACAGGTGGCGGCAGATGAGGAGGGATTCCAAGGACAAGTGTGAGGTGGACGGGAGGACGGCAGGTCCCCCCAAAGCGGAAGTCCCCCCAGAGGCAAGGACCGCCTTGGAGGCTATAGCTTCATTACAGTCTCGCTCGGTGGCAGAGGGGGAGGCCTGGCCTCCTGGGAGCGGGGCCTCACCGCGTGGGCCCCGTCCTGTCTCCTGCCCTTCAGTGCCAGCGTGAGGCTCCCGGCCAGCACAGTCAAGCTGGGCGAGAAACTGGAGCGGTACCACACCGCCGTGCAGGTGCGCAGGCTCTCGCGGGGGTGGGCGAGCCCGCCGGCATGCGGGGTGGTCTGTGCTTCTCACCCTGCACCTCCTGTTCCCAGAGGTCGGAATCCGTGAAGTCCCCAGGCTCCCCCCGCACCGAGCTCTTCGTGGCCCCCGTGGGGGTAGCTAGCAAGCGCCACCTCTTTGAGAAGGAGCTGGCGGGCCAGAGCCGAGCGGAACCCGCCTCCAGCCGGAAGGTGAGGGCTCAGGCGGGCGGGGCCCGAGGTCTTTAACCCTGGGCCTTGTTCGCACGTGTCAGTTTGGGCAGAATCCGCCCTCCACCAGAGTTGCCATCTGTGTCCTGAGCCCAAGTCACCACAGCTCCCGGGGGAGGGGGCTGGCCCTCCAGGTCTCAGTGTCCTGGGCCGGCGGCCCCAGGCCCTGATGTGAGCCTGTCTCCTCAGGAGCACCTGAAGCTCTCGGGGGTTGTGACATCAAGGCTCAATCTGTGGATCAGCAGGACTCAGGAGTCTGGTGAACAGGACCCTCAGGTGCCAGTCCCTCCCTGAGGCCTCTGGCCCTGGGCCTTTCGGTGGTGGGGTGAGGGGCCAGCCCGAGGGTGCAGGAGACAGCTCAGGAGTGACACTGGGGCTGGGCAGGGCCACAGAGAGGAGAGGATCTGGGCCCTCCCTCTCTGGAGGGGGAGTGGCCTGGGGGTCGGGGGCTTTGCCACCCACAGGCTGCCTTAGCCCCTGGTCCCTGCCCTATGCCCCCAAGCAGGAGCTGCGGCAGGAGACAGCGGCCACCAGGAGGACCCAGTGGGGAAAGAAGGCGGACTCGGCCCTGGACGCCGAGGTGAGGGGGCGGGAGAGGGGCTGTCCTGGGAGGCCCCACGCCCCCCACGCCCCC